TACTACTACACTACTACAACTACTAGTGCTAGTGCTAGTGCTAGTGCTAGTGCTAGTACTAGTACTAGTACTAGTACTAGTATTCGTACTACTACAACTACTACTACTACTACTACTACTTCTTCTTCTACTACTCCGACGACGACGACTACTACTGCTGCTGCTGCTACTACTGCTGCTGCTACTACTGCTGCTGCTACTACTGCTGCTGCTGCTACTATACTACTACAACTACAGCAGCAGCAGCAGCTGTTACGGCCACTGCTACTGCTGCTCCTACAGCTCTACTGCCACTGCTACGACGACTGCCACTGCAGAGTTGCCGCTCGCTTGTGGCCACTACAGGCAAGGACTGGCCTCCGCTGGAGGCTCAGAGAGCCCAGGCCGGAGACCGCGTAGCCTTTGGATTTCATGGCGGTGGGGGATCGGTGCAGGTCCCTTTGGTTTCCCATGTTTTCGCTGCAGAGCCTTTCGTGCTCAGCTTGCGTCGACAGATTGTGACCGCCTCTACAAGGGCTACGCTGCAACTGCCACCAGGAGGCGCTTGCTCCAAGGAGCCATCCTCGCTTGCCTGCAAGAAGGCATCTCGGCCCTGCTTGCGGATGGCGTTCAGCTCATCATCCTGATGGCCACTCAGAGGTTGGGGACCTTTCTAAGAAATCTTTCACCTGTCATTCCAGAAATGGCATCCTTCAAGAGTCTAACTGAAGGTTCACTCCCGCTACGTCCTCTGTGATCTGGCAGCCGGGATCCTCCTCCACTGGCTCCTGCGCATGAGGTCATAATCGCGAGCTAAGACGGATAAAAGGTGCCTGTGGCCATGCATATGCGTCCAAAGTTTACGCAAGGTGAGTGCCAAGCGCAAAAAAGCATGTGGAATCTTCGTTAATGCTTTCGCCCATGATGAAACCTGAAAGACAAGCTCCATCCCCAGGCCCTGAGCAGTCTGGATGAAATGAAAGAAGCAGCTCCGGTTTTGCAATTGACTGTCATCCAGAATATCAAGACATACATGCGTATAGACTCAGAGTGCCAAGTCAGGCGTAGCAAGCAGAAAACGACAGGACAAAGAGTGGCGTAATGACACCATTTTAGGCACTGGCAAGAGAAACCCTAATTAATCACTGCGTTCGCTGCTGTATCCCCAACCTGCGGCTCTGCCGGTGCCGGCGCCGAGGGCGGCTCTTTCGCTGCTTCTGCCTGAATGCCAAAAGTTTTCGGCAATCCACCGCTTGGAACAAGCCAAACCACGTCTGACAAATTTAGGGTTCAGAGCCAATGCAGTTTGGTGCGCGTCCAACAGAGTTCTAGGAGGCACTCACAGTCACACTTCTCCTGCTTCATGTAGCAGTTTTGTCTGTATGCCGATCGTAGAGTCTTGTCAACCGGTCTTCTCCACACTCCCGAGACGACAGCAGGATGAGAAGTAAGTGTGGATGACGAGTAATTGAGAAGGCCATGGACATCTTGGAACGGAAAAGCATCTTCTGACAAAACGTGGAACAACAAAAATTACATCTGGCAGGAGCTGCCTCCGCCCCGCGGAGATGCGTGCAAAGAAAGCTGGTGGGGTCCGCGGGCTGCTCCTTCAGGAGGGCCTGCCAAGTCATATTGTGTGGTGCTCAGAAGACCGAATTTCTGCTGTTGCTGTTGCAAGCCGAGCGGATGACAGGATAGCACCCGGTAGCATGATTCATGATGCCACTCTCCTCCTTTGATCTATCTCGGGCATCGTAAACTTTGCGATGTTATTTCCGGGCCTTGACCGCTTCAGACAATCTCACCTCAGTCGACAGGATGGAGGGTGCCATGGGATGTAAGATTTGGTGTTGTGTGCGCGTGTGGGGATGTATGTATACACTCGTGTTCAGTTCCCGCTGGTCCGAGGCGCCTGACTCTCGCGTGTTCTTGTGGCTGCCTCGCCCTCTCTGTCCATATGTAAAATGTATGTACGTGTATATAAGTATATACACATCATACATAGTCACACCTGGCTCTGGCCTGTCTGTGTGCGCAATTACCTGGCTCTTCCATCTCTCTCCATCGCATCGTCTATCTGAGAAACTGCTGTCTAACGCCATGGCCATAAGTGCGTATGTGTCTGTGTGCAGGTGTGCGACCGACAGGAACTATGCAGTTTTGTTGTACGTTTTGCAAAATGTACCTGCTCAATGCTCCACCTCCCTCAGAATACCTGGCACAGTTGCACACCGGACGGCAAGCGCGCACAGAGTTGAGCCGGGTTTCTTCGATGTTGTGCTTCGTCAGATAATCTCTCGCCTGCACTTTGAGTGCCTGCAGGGTCAGGACATGCACCCAGCTGCTACCCGACTGGCTATGTCTTCTCTGCTAGTAGTAGTAGTAGTAGTAGTAGTAGTAGTAGTAGTAGTAGTAGTTTTAGTAGTAGTTTTA